GGACAAATTTGGTTAGTTTTCTCTTGACAGAAAACTTGCAATACTGACTCTAGATGGCAGCAGATAGCCCAAATTCATCAAGTCTTAGGAAGAATGAGCAAATGTCCAAGGTGGTTCAATAGGAAAGTTATCTTGGTTTATTTAATGGCTACAGCATAAGTATCAAGTGCTCTCTTCTGCAGTTTTCCGTTTGAGGAGAACCAAAACCGCAAGTATTATGAAATCCTCGCTCCCTCAGCTGGCACTGCTCATTAGCAAACTGGACAGCAGAGTGGCGCTGACGCCCACGGGTGTTAGCTCTGTCCCCTGCAGTCACCGACAGTCATCCTGTCCATTCAGGTATTAGTGAGCCTCACCGTGTATAGACAGGCCAGAAAAATCTATCACCGTGTCCCAAATTAATCTAATTGCTATTAACTAATAAGATTCTGAGTAAAATATCAGTAATAGTGTTTTCTAATTTGGGCCTAGGACAAAACTATTGCTTGTCAGAGGGAAAAATAATAATGCTTAAATACAGCACATAATAATTTAAGCAATTTCTCATATACTTTTCTTTTCATCCTTGCGACAGCATGTGAATAAGGCAGGGCATTGTCTTCCTTTTTTATAGGTGAAATCCCTATTACAGATGACAGGTTTTTTCATCTGAAGCCATGCACAAATAAGTGACTGAACTGGCATTAGACTCCCTGGGACTCCTGCATGGGTTCAGATAAACGTGAAGGTTATTACCAAGGGGTGGAGCTGGAGCGAACCTGGGGTCATCGGGAGTCTCTTGGAACACACTGGAGTAGGATAGCTTAGGTGCTCCTAAGAGAAAAAGTGCAGAAAGATGACGTATCAAGACTTCATGAATCATCATTTTATACTTCCAAGTCAAACGTCTAATTGGGTGGCACACATCACAGGAAAACATTTCAGCTGCAGGTACCAACTTGAAAAACTAATGAGTAGGAATTTTTTACACCAGACTGGAAATGCATTTCCTACCAATTACAAATTTGACGTGGGCTATATAACAATATCTTTTTTTAAAGGATTTCATTTTCTGTGCATATGATAAGACTTTCCTGGTAGAGGTAACATACAGAAACACTATATGATCTGAAGTCTTATTAAATTGGAAGGGAAACATGGACATCTCAGAATTTTGAACTGCTTATGATGTCATCTGTATTGATCACTGATAATAAATATAGGTGATATCTGAGAAAATATTTAAGCAAGTAGAGTCAATCAGTGTCTTAAACATAGTAACACTTCTGTAATTCAGAGTGAGGTCATATAAATCAAAGCAACAATTTGAATTTTTGTGAACAACAATATTGTAACTTGCACAAAAATACGGCCCAGCCCCAGGCGCAGGTAACCTGGGTAGGCCTGTGGAAACAAGACTGAGAGCCAACTGTCTTCACTGCCCACTAGCACAGTGGTTTCAGCTCCCGGCTCCCAGCGTCTGAAAGCTACGGGGGAAGAAAGGACCGTGCTGGTCCCTGTGGCTGTGCAGACGCCTACCTCACAGAGTTGTTACAGGGGACTGACCGTTTGGTTCACACTTTGTGATTTCAGAATTTGTCAAACACGTATTCTTTTGAATAAATGCAATACATCTAAAATGTAAAAGCAGCTGGTATTTTCCTGTTTCTTTGATAGTTTGCTTTAACATCCAGAACTCCTGAAATAGCATTCAATATAATGTTCGCAATGACTTTTTCATTAATGGACATCCAATACCTCATCACATTTCTAATGAATTTTCCTTAGATGTTTTTAAATTTAAAAAGTAGGAGTGTTTTTGTTTTTGAGGAAAATTGCTTAATCTGGGTAAATCTATCATAATTCTGGACGAGAAGGGTGGAATTGAAATTAGAGATTAGGCTTGTATCCTGATTCCCCACTCTTGAGTGTGTATTTGATAACTGAAATGATCTTTTCTGAGTCTGTGCCCTTACGTCTGCATAACACTCATTCCATTCCACTCCCTTCTCCCTGAAACCCTAGATGTACTCCCGGCTCTTCTGTTTTGCTAAATAGCAAACCATAAACCTGGGACTGGGTCAGAATAGGAAAGGGCACTGAAGGTTTGAAGGCCCTAAGACTTGTCTCCCAGGGCCAGGCTGGTAGGCTTTAAGGGCTGCTGGTAATCACAGAGATAAAGACAATCATGGAGCTTCTGTTGTTCCGTCAGAACCAGACCATTTTCATGGCGTCAGTATTTGTTTTAAGCATTGAGTCTTTGACTGCAAGCAAATTTGAGATGTTATCAGGTGCTGTCATCTTTATCCATCCATACCCTCTGATGGTCCCACATCCCAGAGTGGTACAGGAGAGGATTAAACACTGTCCGGAAACACGGAGCATGTCTGGATATTCTCCTCCATTCTTCATCGGACTAGTGGTATTCAGCTACAGGCCTTTTGAGGGAAATGTAATATGGGATGTAGGAGAGGGCTAAGGGCTAAAGATGTTTTAAACTCACTGGTATCTAATAGATTTTTTATTTTTTATTGATTTTTTACAGAGAGGAAGGGAGAGAGATAGAGAGTTAGAAACATCGATGAGAGAGAAACATCGATCAGCTGCCTCCTGCACATCTCCTACTGGGGATATGCCCGCAACCCAGGTACATGCCCTTGACCGGAATCGAACCTGGGACCTTTCAGTCTCCAGGCCGATGCTCTATCCACTGAGCCAAACCGGTTTCGGCATAATAGATTTTAATTTAAAAAAAAACACACAAAAACTTTAAAAACTATTTAAAGATATAATATTCAGATCAAGACATCCACCCCTCTAATTAGTCTTAGGGAAAACCTATAATTTATATCTACATGACAATCTTGTTTCACTAATCCTAGAATATTAGAGATGTAAGGGTCCTTACAAATTGCCTAGTGTTTGTACTTTCTCTGTGAAAATCAAATGAAAGCTGTGGGCAGCTCCCCAGAAAAATGCATATATACACATGTATGTATACTTTTTATTCCTTTTCAGGGGACTCAAGACCTGAACATTGTGGATTCTAAATTAAGAATTCTTCATTTAGTCCTATAGCCTTACTCCATAGATGAAGATAAGGAGGCCCAGAGAGAGAATGAATGCAAAGGTATTTTCTAAAATACAAATGGTTTATAGGAAAAAAACACAGCTGGACAGAAATTAAAATCTAAACTGTTGATATCAGTGAGTTTAAAAACATCTTGAGCCCTCTCCTATGTCAAAACAAGTGGCTTATTTTTCTTCAGTTTATCAAACACGATAAAGTTTATCCTAGAATAACTGTAACAAAACTTACTCTTTAAATGTCAATGTATAATTTCTTTTCCTTAAAAAGTATTTTAATAGTAAATGCATTAAACTTTGAAAAGCATCAAACTTCTAACTATCCCTCTTCAGTTTATCCCTATTTATTATCTTTCCCTCAAATGGTCGTATAAGACATATATTCACTTCTTTAATATTTACTGAAGGGGCCAAATGAGCCTATGTCATTCTCTTAAAAAAGGGCAGTTTTGCCCTGATCGGTTTGGCTCAGTGGATAGAGCAGGGGTGGGCAAACTTTATGACTCGAGGGCCACAATGGGTTCTTAAACTGGGCCGGAGGGCCGGAACAAAAGCATGGATGGAGTGTTTGTGTGAACTAATATAAATTCAAAGTAAACATCATTACATAAAAGGGTACGGTCTATTTTCTTTTAGTTTTATTCATTTCCAAAGGGCCGGATTCGGCCCGCGGGCCATAGTTTGCCCACGGCTGGGATAGAGCCTCAGTTTGTGGACTGGAGGGTCCTGGGTTTGATTCCCGTCAAGGGCGTGTACCTGGGTTGTGGGCACATTCCCAATTAGGAGGGGGGGGGGGGGTGAGGCGTGCAGGAGGCAGCTGAATCCATGTTTCTCTCTCATCGATGTTTCTAACTCTCTATCCCTCTTTCTCCCTTCCTCTCTGTAAAAAAAAATCAATATATATATATTTTAAAAAGGATAGTTTTGCATATCTTATGTGGCCCTTGTTGGCTTACAGTGGTTCTCAACCTTCTGGCCCTTTAAATACAGTTCCTCATGTTGTGACCCAACCATAAAATTATTTTCATTGCTACTTCATAACTGTAATGTTGCTACTGTTATGAATCGTAATGTAAGTATCTGATACGCAGGATGGTCTTAGGCGACCCCTGTGAAAGGGTCGTTCGACCGCCAGAGGGGTTGCAACCCACAGGTTGAGAACCGCTGGAAAAGCTGTTTTACTAAAGTAGAACATCAAACATTTTAGAAATCATAAAGATCACTGATTACCATAAAGTGAGCAGTTTGACCATCACTTCAGTCAACAGGCACATTACCACCGTCCCACCAGCCGCCCTTCACTGGCTCTCCGCAAAAGTAACCTCTTCTGACCTCCGTTTTGCCTACTTTCTTATTCCTTTACAAAAAATAGAATCACGTAGTATATTTTGTCTGACTTTTGTAAGAACCTTCCATAGTGATGGGCCCCAGCTTCTTTACTTCGGTTGCTATGTGGTATTCCATCGTATACCACCGTTTATACATTCAACTATTAGTGGGAACTGGGGTTTCTACAAACCATGATCAGTGGCCGCCCTTGTAAAGAAATCGGCGCCATAACCCAGCGACCTCAGCTTTACACCTGTCCTCCCTTAAATCAGCCGACCCCACAGACCGCACGGCTCCCCGCGCTAACCCGCCCCGGATCGATCAGCCCGAGAAAAGCGGGGCCGGGGAGCCGGACCTACAGTTCCGCTCCCCTCCCCGCCTCTCGCAAGCACTTCCTTTCTCCCTTCCGGAAGGTCGCAGGCCCGCCCACTTCCGCAACGCTAAGCCCACCGCCCCTCACGCCGGGCCTCAACCAATGGCCTGCTTCCCAGGGAGCGTTACTTCTGACCTCAAAGCTAACCGGAGAGCACAGGACGAACTCCTCGCGAGAGCAGGACGAACTCCTCGCGAGAGCTGAGGTTGAAGCTGCCTCCGCCATCTTGGAGATGGGAGACGGGGGATGGTTGTGGTCCTGCTAATGCAAACAACAAAACGGGCACATTAGGCGCCCCGGACAGAGGCGATCACCACTGTGACTGTTGGCCAAAGCTACAGAAGAAGCGAGAGTGTCAAAGCCGAGAGCAGCGACATTGGTAGCCGCTTCACCTGCCTGCTGGGGCGGCAGAAGTGAGACGGCTGAGGACTGGAAGGATGGTGCAGTCCTGTTCCGCCTACGGCTGCAAGAACCGGTATCATAAGGATAAGCCTGTTTCTTTTCACAAGTAAGTACCCCTTCGCCTCCGCTCGGGCTGGGGGCGCGCGGCCGATCAGGCTCGGGGGCGGGGCCAGGCGCGTGTCCGCGCGAGACCCAGCGAGAGGGGCGTCGGCAGGGGCGGGGCGCGGCCGTGCGCTCCTCGGGGTCGGCGCTGCGCCGGGCAGCGGGCGTGCCCGCCCGGTGTCGGTGCCCGCGCCCCCGCCGTTGCCGGCTGCGCGTTCTCGGCGCGCGTCGCCGCCGCTATCGGCGACCGTTCCTCGCGCCTGAAATCCGGCCCCTGCGCGAGGCTCACTCGCCGCCGGGAGTTGGAGTGTTCGGGCCCGGCTGGTCGTGAGGCCGAGAGGAAGTGCTGGCTTTCCCCACCGGGTCATGGAGAAGCCGGGTGGTAATGAATTACTCTTTAGAAGTAAATTTGAAATTTAAACAAGGGACCTGGAGCCCTAACCGGTTTGGCTCAGTGGATGGAGCGTCGGCCTGCGGACTGAAGGGTCCCGGGTTCGATTCTGGTCAAGGGCATGTACCCGAGTTGCGGGCACATCCCCAGTGTGAGGTGTGCAGGAGGCAGCTGATTGAGTTTCTAACTCTCTCCCTCTCCCTTCCTCTCTCTCTCTAAAAAAAAAAAAAAAAAAAAAAAAAATGGGACCTGTAAAACAAAGTCACTGTTTTGTGGATGGGAGGCCAGCATCCTTAAGGATTGGTTTTTGGCCAGGATTTCAGGGAGGTTGGGGGGTTGCAGTTTCTAGGCGCCACCTCGAAGGGCCTCTAAGTGTCACTGCTGCAGGGGTCACATGGACCACAATCCTGCGGACCGCGACCCGCTGAAGGTCGGCATGAGCTCCCCCAGGTGCCCGGGGAGCCCTGGGAGGAGAGCCTGCCCCGCAGCGCTCAGGGCTGTTTTACCCAAAAGGTGCTGCAGTCAGGGTCCTGGAAGAATAACGTTCTCTTGAAAATAAAACCGCAAAGTGGAAATGACTTACTGATACTCAAATGTCTGCAAAGTGTGACACGATGGCATTTTATTTCAGCCAGACTCAGTACAGTATTTTCAGATTTTATTACATTCACATTAGAACGTTTTGGCAAAAATTCCTGACTGGGAAGGTTGATAGCTGAAAAATTAAAGCCGGTGGTAAGTTATGTGAATTTTTCATAGCTCAATGATTACACGAGCAACATGTTAAATATTCTTTAAGCTTTTTTATTTTGGGGGAGGGGGGGCGTCATTTATGTTGGACAGCAGATGTGGATGCATTTTTGTTTTTGATCTGGTATGAGAGGGACCGTACAAGTACATAGAGAGACCTTGAGTGCTGATGCTTCCCTCTTCTGAGAAGGGAATAGAACACTAACACTTTAGGATTCAGTTCAGGATGTCCTAATATCATCCTTGATTTGTTGGGATTTCCAAAAGCGGATGAATTGACAACCTCTCCCGTGTAGGCATCGGTCTGGAGACGGTGATTGCATTTGTTCAGCTCTCTGCTTCCCCATTCTAATGAGACGGCAGAAGGAATCTAAAAATACGGAAACCCTTCCTGGGCTCTGGGAGCTGGTGAAGGATGGTGGGCATACTCAGAAATACCGAGTTTCTGCTGGCTGTTAACAGTTCATTGAATCCAAAGGAGTAACCTACCTCTCATCCTTTATCTAAAAAAACAGGTTTTTGGGATTTTTGGGAAAGCTCCTGACCGAACCTCAGAAACAACCTGAGCACTTGTAATCCTTGGCGTTGAAGTTTGCCCGTGATTGCGACCATGTTTGTACTTGTAGAAGCCATTCCAGCAGGGATCTTCCAGGAATCCTCTTTCCCCCTTTTTACATGGTGGCCGTGGGAGAGCTCTGTTGGACAAAGGGGCTGTCGTAAGGGTTCATTAGATCTTCATGTCCGTAGAGTGAGGTGCTGGCATACCTTACGTGGAAGAGAAACTGGAAAAATAAAATCACAATAAATTTAAACTCTTCCTACGTCCCTTTATCTGGGCCTAATTGACATTGAATAGGTTAAGAGGTAAATCAAAATAAATAACCTTTTGTTTCTTTATTATAGTGATTTAATATAATTTGATTAATTCATATTTGTCAGACTGTTTCTAAGAACTAGAATCTTCTTTTTCTCAGCCTGTAGATATAAACATGCAATTTTGCTTTACAGTGAACAGAAAATCACTGGTAAAATAATTAATACAAATTCATCCTATAGAATGTATTTTACTTGAAATTTTCAGTGTCTTCAATATAAAAAGTAGACAATAATAAGTGAGAGATTAGAGAGCTACACATTTACCCTTGTGTATTTAGATGTGTTTGGAATACTTGTATCTGTTAGCGAAAGTTATTTACTATCATGGTGGGGGGAACAGATGTTACACGTTTGGGCCCTCCACCCCGAACTTTTCTTCAGCTACCCTTCCCACTGCATGCATCCATCAACATGGCTAACTTTTTTTTTTTAAATAATATATTTTTGTTGATTTCAGAGAGGAAGGGAGAGGGGGGAGAGAGAGAAACATCAATGATGAGAGAGAATCATTGATCGTCTGGCTCCTGCATGCCCCCTACTGGGGACCAAGCCCACAACCCTGGGCATGTGCCCTTGACCCTTCAGTCCTCAGGCCGATGCTCTATCCACTGAGCCAAACCAGCTAGGCAGGGCTAACTTTTAATCCGTATATTTTTACATTCTGTAATTTCTTAATTGGTCTGTCTTATTACTAATATCTGTCTTATTACTAATATCTTAGAACTATTGTGTGATCAGTAAGATTTCTATAAGAAATACTGCTTTAAAAAAAATACCATGTTGGGAGGGGTGACTTATATCCTACTTTAGTGAGTGGTCACTTTACTGGATATTTAAAACAAGTACATTTTTAGTGAACTAAGGTGAATAAAGGCACAACTAATAACAAACAAAAAAAAGAACTAGTGTTTTAATGAAATACTCCTTAGTGTGTTGACAATGTAAGGTGTTTCTTTGCTAACAAAGTCAGAGAACTGAATTATATCATTTTCTTAGGTTTCCTCTTACTCGACCCAATCTTTGTAAAGAATGGGAGGCAGCTATCAGAAGAAAAAACTTTAAACCCACCAAGTATAGCAGTATTTGTTCAGAACACTTTACTCCAGATTGCTTTAAGAGGGAGTGCAACAACAAGTTACTGAAAGAGAATGCTGTACCCACAATATTTCTTTGTACTGAACCACGTGACAAGGTAATGTGTGTTTTAAAATACTGGCTTCCCCCCGCCCCCATTTTAAAAATTAATGTATTTATTGTGGAAAATTGAGAGTGGTCTTAAGAAAATAAATGTTACCTGGAACCTATTCCTTATGAATAATCACTGTTAACAGTAATATACTTTTAAAAAATACAAAATATAGTTTATCAAAATTAAATATCTTCACACTAAGAAACTCAATCAAGCTTTGTAATTTATTTTAAGATTACCTTGTACCTCTACTTTGTATATTGATCAGTTATTTTTTTTAATCAATGACAGTTCATTTTCAAAGTATTTTCCCCCTTGGTTTTAAATGCTCAGTAATTCATTAAATTTGATTAGTCATTCTCTTTCTTGCATCTCATTTCTACTTCAGGTAGAAAAATATAATTAAAACAAACTATTTCCTCATTTTGGAATTTTTTTTTACCAGACTTCATTTTTAAAAAAGGTGTAATATTCTTAAATTCCACAGGTAGATTCTTTTAAACTGTTACTTCTAGTTATTAAATTCAAACATATTTTGCATTATTGTTTTAGAAGGAAGATCTGGAGCCACAGGAACAGCCTTCCCCACCTCCTTTAAAACCTCCCATTTCCCAGGTTGATGCTGCTATTGGATTATTAATGCCTCCTCTTCAGACCCCTGATAATCTCTCAGTTTTCTGTGATCACAACTATACTGTGGAGGATACAATGCACCAGAGAAAAAGGATTCAAGAGCTAGAACTGCAAGTCGAAAAACTCAGAAAGAAGCTCAAGACTGCACAGCAACGATGCAGAAGACAAGAACGACAGCTTGAAAAATTAAAGGAGGCCATACACTTCCAGAAAGAGAAAGACGTACCGGAGCGAGGTTTTGTGTTTCTCCCAGAAAATTACTTTGAAATAGTTGAAGTACCGGTATAGAAAGAGTGAAATTTGTATTGGTTTTTAATGGGGCAATACCACATACCCTCTTCTAGTCTATAAAGGAGTTTCATTTGAAAAAAATAGCACTTGATTACTTGTATAAAAACAATTCAGAATATTTTTTTAAATAAATTAGATATATACTATAAAATTGTTAATTCTTTTGTTTGTAATTTCGGGGTTTATACATTTTAACAAATATTTTGAAAGTTATAATTAACCTCAGAACTCCAATATAAGTTGGTTTTAAGACTGAGGGTTTTTGTTTTTTAATTTGAGCATTTATAGAAAAAAATGTAAAAATGAAAGAGAATGAGAACAGTACAGTAAAGATGATTTAAGTTGAAAATTTTAAATTAGTTTATTGAGAGAACTTAGTTATATTTTAAATCAGAAGTATGGCTTAGATCATAGGACGTAACTTCTCAGAATATAGTGGAACCTCGTTTCTCGAACTTAATTCTTTCCAGAAGGCTGTTCGAGAAGTGATTTGTTTGAAAACAGAATCAATTTTTCCCATTAGGTTAATGTAAATTGAATTAATCCATCCCAGACCCCCAAATGATTCCCTGTTTCAACCTTTCTTATATACAGTACGTACATGGCTGATGTACAGCTTAATTTATAAATAAACACTTCTTTTCTAAAATTTATGGAACCACCCCTATTAGCCTTAAAGGAATTTTTCATACATCACTGCCTCCAGAATGCTATCACCAGCTAACTTCTTTTCCTTTATCCAATCAGCAACAGTTTTCCTACCTATTCAATTGCCTGTGATTGCTGTTTTGTGAGCACTTTCACACTCTTAGCTACATTAGCACTCTTAATGGCCTCTTTTTGTATTAAAATTGTGCTAATTGCCAGCAACAAAAGTATTCTCTCCTTTGCTTGTTGCCTTTGAGAAGCTTTTTGTTATGCTGATACCTCAGCATGAAAGAGTTATTGGTCGAAAACTGAAGTTTTGGTCGACAACTCAGACATTGTTTTCTGTGAATGACTTGGTCGAGAACCAAATTGTTCCGAGATGGGAGATGGTCGAGAAATGAGGTTTGACTGTATATACTGTAATCTTATTCACACATTCTTATTTGTAAAGTTAGAAGTTTCATTTATCTTAATCATTTGTCAAAGATAAATTGACAAGTCAATGCATTAAAAAAAGATAGGATATCTTAACATCAGAAAGTGAAGAATGGATTTTTTAAAAGTGGGCCCCTCTTTTGCCCTATTGTCTAGCATTATAAAATTAAAAGTGTATCTCCAGTGAAAGACACACTCTTTAACAAATAGTAAGCCTTGTTATCAGTGAAGTAATAAAAATGGGTCTGATCCATGTCAGTAGAGTTTGATTTGTACTGTAATATGGTAATTTTTTAAAAATATGTTTTTATTGATTTCAGAGAGAGGAAGAGAGAGGGATAGAGAGATAGAAACATCGATGAGAGAGAATCAGTTGCCTGCCTCCTGCACGCTTCAAGCTCACAACCCTGGCGTGTGCCCTGACGGGGAATCGAACCATGACCTGGGTTCATGGGTCAATGCTCAACCACTGTACCACACTGGCCGGGCCATAATATGGTAGGTAATCTTGAACTTAACTAATTGATTTTGGTCAAGGCTTCACATAAAAAATGATTTCTTCACTTTTACCATAAATTAGAAATTATATCTCACTTAAATGATTTATATACAAAAGCAACTTAATATGTAGAGTTTATTTTCCTGAATGTTGAGATTTAAACACTGAGGTTTCTGTTCAAACTGTGAATTGTATTCTGACTTTGTGATAAATTTTGCATATATTTGAAATGAAATATGTTCTGAGTAAAGAAATACTGCCATAGCATGTACCTACTTAGATTTAAAGTAACAGTTTCAACTATAATTATTTTAAATTTCAAAGTACACTGAGATAGTTGAAGAATAACAGACCTTTTAAGACAGTATTAAAAATGATGCTCAAAGTGTTTTTATAGACCTATTTTTCAGTGTAATTCACTGCAAGGCTGCCAATAGATAGTACTTTGATTCATGGAGATTTGATCTTTGATGAACCAGTATTTCAAAAACAGAACATTTTGATTTGAAGATTACTTGAAGCTATTTAGTCTGATAATATTTAGAACTAATTCTAATGAATCACAACATTTTCCAGTTGTAAAGTCTCCATTTCATCTCTCTAGCAATTCTTGGAGGATATGTGGATAAATATTTTGTTTTTATATAAATTGTTGTCTACATAAAAGAAAATCTGTGTGTGTGTGTGTGTGTGTGTGTGTGTACACATGGGCATATGCGTGTGTACATGCAGGCATGTGTGTGTGTCCAGAATGAAGAATCCAACATTGAATTGTAAAAGTGATGATGATAATTACTAAACATCTTAGCATTATGACTTAACCTGGAACTATTTTCTTTTCATGACAGACATAAATCCATGCTTGGAGAGAGCTGAGCAAGAAACATGTATACCAACTGTTTGCATATAAATAATATGTCAGTTTAACATAGGGATTTTGAGGTACAGGTGCTTATTTCTGAATTTAAGATGTAACATTTGTTGAATGTTTTAAAAATTCATTTTGTCTATTATTTATAACATTGCCAAGAAAAGGATAACATTTAGGCTAAAATAGGTCCTGTTCAAACATAGTGAAACTCATTCTAAAACAGGGACAAGATTTCAATCTGAAACAAATTGGGAGAGGGCTTGTGAACTGCAGCATATTCTGAAAGGTAACATTTATTTTAGCATATAGCAACACACTAAAATATCCACCTGTGTGTGACATAATCTAGCTATAATTAATGGGGAGAAGAAATAATTGTTTCTTAATAGAACTGCTAGGAAAACAATAGAGTTTTAGAATTAGAAGGGACTTAGAAATCATTGAACACTAGCCCAACCTCTAAACCCTGGAAGAAATTTCCTTGTAAAATATTGCTGGCAGTTGTCATCTGTTCTTTCATTGCTGTTTACATTTAATCAGTTCTGCTTAGATTCTTTAAATTGGGTTTTGGGATTAGGATAGAATTAGTTGCCACTTTTTATACTTGTTTATAATAAAAATATAAACTTCACTTTGAACTGCTGCATAGTTGAACTGTCAAATTCTAAATTACAGAATTTTGAATTTTTGTAAAATAATTCAAATGTTTACTAATTGTTACATCTGTTATGTGTGCTAAAAATATTTCTGCCATTGAAGTAAAAAACAGTGGGGTCTAAAATGACTAGCACAACTTTTCACTTGGAAATCCAAGAACATGAAATTACTTTCCTTTATAATTTGTGTAATCCCTTTCTTAGCAGTATAATGATAATGGTGAAGGCAAATAAAAGTTTCACTTGAATGTACGTTTTTTAGGTTAAATTAATGTGGACTTTTTTAGGTTAAAATTCTCTGATCACTTGAGTTATCAAAAAAATTGTACACACATGCACAATACCCAACACCTGTGGCTTTTATAAAACCAGTAGTAAGTGACATAAAGTAATGTATTTAAAAGTCCTCATTATCTGTAAAAGAAAACTTAATTTGTGTTCCAGAATTTAAAAAGATAGCCAACCTTTAGTATTTAAAGGAGAAAAAGTGAACAGATGGGCTTGCTTGGTTATTACTCTCTAATATTGCGGAGTGCATTGGATGACAGTGAATGAAAAGCATTGCTCTTATCTGATGGTAACTTGTGTTTCTGGGCATTATGGCTTAGTACAGTTATGTATTAAAATACAGTCCTTGATGTGAAAGAAAAATAAAGAGCAAACACTGATTTGCAGACAAACCAAAATAGCAGTTATAATTAAACTTTAAAAATGTGTTGAGAATTTTTATTCTTTTCTAAATTCATAGTATTTTGGGTTTTTAGATTATAAAAGTTATATTTTAAATATCCTAAGGGATATGAATAAACTTTCATTGTTTTAAACTATTTTTGGTGAGACAAACTACAATATTAATAAATAGACTTCTGGAATGGCTACATGAAGACCTGTGACCGGCTCCCCTCCATAACTGCCGTAACAGGTGAAAAAAATTCTTTTTTTAAAATAACCATTTAAAGTTCATGTGGTCCTAAAGGCATACAACACATGGAACATTCAAGAAAACCCAAATCTCTGTAAGAACTTTAAGTTTGTGGCATTTATGCCACAACCTATTCTCTTCCTACACCTCCCCTCTCCCTCCCCAACCACACACATAGCTCAGTGCTACCATAGCTCCACTCTGAGTGGGTATAGCCAAGAAGACAATGTTCCCTCTTCCCTAACAAGGATATGGTATCTTTAAGGGAGGGGCAGGCTGCCAGTACTTCTCAGGCCCCTCTAGCCTTGTGTTGCAAAGGCTGAACTCCAAGTACATGCAGCCAAGAGGTCAGGACTCCCTTTTCTCAACCAGTTCCCACTCATAGGATGGAGGCTCTACCCAGGTACAGCTGGCCAAGAATACTGGGATGCTGAGTACCTCTTGCTGGCTTGCTTATAGGGTAAAGTTTATGTGCCAGAAGTGCCAACCCAAGAAGACTAGTGGCTTCCGTAATTATTGAGCTCTACTCATAAAGTTGGCATAGCAATCCTAGAGAAGCAGGCCATGATTCCCACTCCCAGCTCCAGAAGAGTGACTCCCATTTCCCCAGGGGAGAGGCAGCCCAGAAGAATCAGGAGCTCTGAAGCTCTTCCCGAAGGAACTGATTTGGGAGAGTGGAAAGTTCAGGCAGGGTGCTCTCAAAAGCGATGGCATTTAGTGGTCAGCAATTAGGAGGCAACAAGCCACATTAACTGACAACCAGGGAGAGAGGCAAGAAAAGCCCTCCTACGGCCATAACAAGCCTCAAAGACTAGCCTCAAACACCACCTCTCCAAAAGGGCCCAGCCAACTCTAAGTGGGTCAGACTGCAGAGCCCTTTGTGCTCCGGGCACCCTCAGAAACAGCAGTCAACTGGCAATGGGAGCTAACATGAGTGTGATGCCAATTGAGGCAGGTGGGTTTAACAGATCAAGAAAATATTCGGAGAAAGGCCTATTAAAGCCTTGCCCAGGTGACTATGCATACCCAAGGCTGCACCCTCTAAAGAATGAAATGGAAAATTTCTCAAGCAAAAAATGAAGCCAGAAGGCTGTGGGCTGACGTATTTAAAGGGTTAAAACAACAGCAACCTATACATCAAGAATGCAATATCTTGCAAAACTGCCCTTCACACTTGAGAGAGACAGCTTACCATTGTAATTAGCTAATTATTAATAATAGGAAGAAAGCAAAGGAAAGGCCAGGCATCATAAGCTTGGTCACCTAGGCAGCTTCACCAGGATAACTTTACCCTCCCCAGGGAACCACCAGTCTACTTGCAAATCACTGGGGAAGGGATCCAACAAAGGGGAGGATGAATGCATGTGCAATGAAGTCGGGTGACAGGGGAGGTGCTTGCCCATCAGTCCAATCGGGAAAATATAATTAGCCATAGGGGTATAGCTAATGCAAGGCCACGAAATTCTGAAGGCTCAATTGGTTAAGCTCCTAGTTATAACCCTGAGACAAAGAGTTCTTGCTCTGTTGTTTGCTTGTGCTTCTGTTTCTCGCTTGGTCCATGACATGCACTTGCCGTGAACCTCCATAGCCATCTGGCCTTAAGCAGCCACAGGGCCGATGGCCATGCCAGCCCCACACGCAATGGACTGCAGCTGGGAACACAAGCTAAGCTGGCCAGATGCTGGACTGGACTGTGCTTTCATGTGGAGTGAGGACTCTGGGCAGTGGCTTTAATCCTAGCTCTGCTGAAGACAAAGTGGGACTTTTTCCATGGTGGAAGGAGGGAGATGGGACCTGGGAGGAGCATTTCCTTAATGTTACACCATCAATAAAGCTTTCCAGGATACCTCACTCCCCCCTGGGGACCTCAGGGAATTCTTGTTTCCACAGCGCCCCAAGAATCCCATGTTCACTAGTAACAGGTGGAGACTCAGAGGGGACCCCACCACTAACAAAATTATGACATTCCCAGAACAACAAAAATGAAGGGAATTCATTACCACAAGACCTGACCTGCAAGAAATGATAGGATCCCGAAGGTTGCAATAAAAGGAAACACTAACTTGAAGCAGTATGGAGACAAATTAGAGCGTAATAACTTCAGGATGTCAAATTTAATCCCCATGGTAATGACAAAACAGTATAGAATATACACAAAAAGAAATAAAGGAATTAAAATATTTCACTATGGCCCTGGCTGGTTTGGCTTAGTGGGTAGAGCGTCGGCCTGTGCACTCAAGGGCCCTGGTTTGATTCCGGTCAAGGGCACATGCCTGGTTTGCGGGCTCATTCCCCAAAGGGGACGTGCAGGAGGCAGTCGATCAATGATTCTCTCCCTCTCCCTCTCTGAAATCAATAAAAATATATTTTTTAAAAGTTTCACTCTAAAAAAAAAATCAATGAAACACAGAAGATGGCAATAGTGCAGAATTAGAGTGAAGCACATCAGTGCAGGAAATGGACCAAAATGCTGTAAAACATTGAAATCAAATAGCTAAATGAGAGAAATAAGTCCCTCCTTATCAGTAAATATATGTAAATGGAATAAATCCAATCAAAAGATAGAGATTGGCTGAGTGGATGTTAAGAGCATGATCTAGCCCTGGCCAGGTATCTCAGTTAATTGAAGCATCATCCCATACACCAAAAGGCTGTAGGTTCGATTCCCAGTCAGGGCACATACCTAGGTTGGTTTGATCCCCAGTCAGGGTTCATAAGGAAGGCAACAGATCGATGTTTCTCACATTGATGTTTTTCTCTCCTTTCCACTCTAAACATATCCTCAGGTGAGGATTTAAAATAAAAGTGATCTAAATATGCAGTCTCACTTTAGAGACTCACTTTAGATCTAAAGACACAAATAGATTAAAAGTGAAAGGATGGAAAAAGTTATTTCATGCAAATAGTAACTGAAAGAGAACAGGTGTGGCTATACTAATATCAGACAAAATAGGCTTTCAATTTAAAAAGTTAACAAGAAACCAAACATTTTATATTAATATAAAGGTTCATACAACTTAAGATATAACAGTTATAAACCATCTAATAATAGACCATCCAAATATATGAAGCAAAAATTGACAGAATTGAAGGGAGAAATAGTTCTACAAAAGCAAAGGTGAAGTAAAAATATTCTCAGATAAAAACTGAGGGAACCTGTTGCTAGCCAACTCATCTTAAAATAAGTACTAGAGGAAGCTGAAAGCAAGTGACACCCTACAGTAATCTGAAGCAAGACTTGCCAGTAAAGGTAGTTGTGCAGGTAATTAATTATAATGACTTTATAACTGTGTTTTTCCTCTTAACTAATTTAAAAGCAATTGCATAAAACTAGGTGTAGCATTGTATTGTTAGGCCTATAACTTAGAGAAATGTAATCTACTTGACAATAACAAATGAGTGGGAAGAAAGCTGTGCTGAAATAAGGAAATAACACCGGCTAGTAACTTGAATCCTTAAGGAGAAATGCAGATTAAAAAGGAAGGAAATTCTGACGTGCTAAACGAGGCATGCGGCTCTCTGGCTGCGAGTTTGACTTGCTTGTGCTACAACATGGATGAATCTGGAGGGTATTATGCTAAGAGAAATAAGGCAGTCACAAAAATACAAATACTGTATGGTTCCACTTATATGAGGTACTTGAATCAAAATTATGAAGACAGAAAGTAGAATGGTGGTTTCCAGGGGTTGTGGGGAGGGGAGAATGGGGAGTTATTGTTTAATAGATACAGAGTTTCAGATTTACAAAATGAACAGAGTTATGGGAATGGACCATGGTGATGGCTGCACAACAAGGTGAATGTATTTATTGCCACTGAACTGTACACTTAAAAATGGCTACTATGATGGGAAAAAAAGTGCTGTGGGGTTACTGACACTCAGGCTGGTGAAACAGTTCACACAGCTGTCATTGATGAAGTGTCTGCTACTGCACTTAAGTCTTGCAATGACCTCGTGGCAGAAGTTGAAGATTAATGCCCCATTATTATAGACTAGAGGCCCGGTGCACAAAAATTTGTGCACTCGGGGGGGGAAGGGGGGTCCCTCAGCCTGGCCTGTGCCCTCTTGCAGTCTGGGACCCTTCGGGAGATAACGACCTGCTGGCTTAGGCCTGCTCCTGGGTGGCAGAGGGCAGGCCCAATCCCTAGGTGCAGCCCCTGGTCGGGCTCAGAGCAGGGCCGATTGGGGAGTTGGGGCGCCGCCCCCTGTCATGCAGAGAGCAGGGCGGATAGGGAGGTTGTGATGCCACCCTCAGTCATGCTCAGGGTAGGGCCAATTGGGGGGTTGGGGCACCACCCCCTGTCACACTCAAGGCAGGGTTGATGGGGAGGTTGCGGCGCCACCCCCTGTCACGCACAGAGCAGGGCCCATCAGGGGGGTTGGGCTCCTTACCCTGTCACGCACAGAGCAGGGTCGATCAGGGGGTTGGGGAGCTCCCCCCGTCATGCACAGAGCAGGGCCCATCAGGGGGTTGGGGAGCTCCC